GAGAAAGTAAATAGCTATGAGATAGGCAAGAGCCCTCTTGTGCCTTGAGGAGTTACCTGGTATGGGCCAGCATTTCCCAGTGCATGCTAAAGATCACTAGCAGACCATTTATGGGTTGTCTGTCAAAAATTGGAGAGGAAGAGTTTGATGGGAAACATGGAGTGAAGGTCCTAGTCTGTTCAGACGGCTATAACAAAATACCTTAGACTAGGCAGTTTCTAAACAATACAAATTTACTGCTCCAGTCAGTTCTGGAGCCTGGGAAGTTCAAGATCAAATCAAGGCAGCAGCAGATTTGATGTCTGGGGAGAGCCTGTTCCTCATAGGCATACCTTCTCGCTGCAGCCCCACATGTGGAAAGAGCCTTCCTCAGGGCTCTTTTATAAGGGCACTTATCCCATCAATGAAGAATCATCTCCCAAAGATCTTACCTCTTAGTACTATTGCATTGGAGATTAGGCTATAACATAAGAGTTTGGGAGACTCAAAAACTCACACCATTGCACTGGGCTAAAGAAAAATTCATTATCACTGCTAGGCTTTGCAAAATCTTTAAAATCCTATTGTGCACCATAGGAAACAGAATATTAGGCTGAGAACCTCTAATCCAGAATGCTCCAAAATCCAAAACTTTTATGAGTGCTGACATGATACTCAAAGGAAATGCTTATTGGAACATTTTGGATTTCCAAACTAACGATGTTTATCTGGTAAGTAGCCTACAAATATTTCAAAATCTGAAACACCTCTGGTCCCAAGGATTTCAGTAAGAGATACCTGGTATAGTGTTGCCTAAAACTCATTTAATCATGGAATACTTTTTCCCCTAGTATCATACCATTGTCCTAAAATTGCCTATCGTGTCCAGTACTGTACTGGTGTATAGCCTAAGAGCCACAACATAGACCCTATAGCCTAGGTGGATAAAAGACTAAACCATTTGGATTTGTGTAAGGACACTGTATAATAGGCACACAGTCACAAAATAGCCTATCAATGCATTTGTCAGAAGTGACGGCAATGAGTAGGGAAGTTGTACTTTTCTTGAGAAATAATGTATCTCAGAACTGCTGCCAGTAATTGGTGTCCAGAGCAAATAGAATGCAGCCATGATGAAGTGGATGAATACATGTGTTCCTGGACCCACCTTTTTATTTGCATTAGAGAAGAACTAAAAATCCAGGCAATGCTTTTCCTTTTAGAAATTTCTACTAAGAAGCCTTTTCTGAAGAAAAAATAAAAACAAAAGGAACCTTTAGAAGTTCTGCTGTTAGCTACTTGTACATCCGCAGTGTGTGGATTCGGTTCAGGTTTAGAGAGGACTGTCATTGACTAGCTTTCACTGTCTGCGGCCTATACAGCTCTGAAAACTCTTATCGTTAATTTTAGTGATACCTGACAACAGAATTATTCTCTTTTTGTTAATTCTCCATTTTGGCTACTGAGATGAGTTCAGTGTAATCCTTGGTCTATTTCTGACTACTTTGCTGTTCCTTTGCTCACTTTATGCCTTCTAATTGGAATGCCCATCTCTTACCCATATGCATGTCTTTATTCCATCCTTCATACTTTGGTTTGCAAAGTAGTAATTTCTTCCTTCTTTCCACACTATAGCACTTTCTACTTGCCTCCCCGATGGCACCTGTAATACCGTGCCACATAGGGTAGTTAACCTGTGCAGCCCCTGCAGGTTGTGAGTGTGGAAAGCAGGTGCTATGTCTTAGACATCTCTGGACCTTCCACCTGGCTTCACATAGTTACTGCACAGAATAGGTAGGTAATCAGTGGATGTTGATTGATGGAAGAAGGGCTTATTAACGGTAGTGTCCTAGTTAGCGTTCTCTTAGTTATTGGTTGTCACTAAGTAAATATTACTAAATAAACGGATAGGAAAGTAAAAGTGGCAGAAAAGATCGCCATATTGAATGTTTTTTCAGGGCATCCCGTATAAATAAAAAGAAACAGAGCAATGTTTACGGAAGTAAGTGTTAATTCCAGGCAGTCCTTCTGCCACCATGGGAAGTACAACCTCCACTCCTCCTCACAGAGGAGCACACCTTCGTGTGAGGTCTTTAAAAGGCAGTATTCAGCTGCTGTTTCTCTTCTCATTACCTCTCAGAGACTGTGTAGGTCATCCCCATCTCATGTAACACTTTTCAGTGCTCTGGTTAAAACTCTCCATGTTTTCTATATCTCACAACTTTATAGTTCTTCAAACTAGCTGGAAATGTTTATTAATGAGTCTGTTCAGTAGTATACATAGTAGGGGAATTTCTCTCAAATGTTAATGTATACTAGGGAGTCCAAGTCACAAGTATCCGCCTTTCAACAGTTACTACTTCTCTGACCATAACTCACCACCAGTGCCCATTTGTCACTACCACAAAAAGCCGTGTATTTATAGCTTACATAGAAAAATCTACAGATACAGATGTGAAGGCAGGAAAGTCGATCAGCAAAGAGGAATCGCAGAGGGGAGCTTGACCTCAAAGACAGCCTCCTAGGCCCCAATGGTGAGTACTTCCCAGTACCTGTTTTGACGGTACCTGAGATTACAATGATTAGAAAAATACAATCCTTTCTTTCTCTCAGTTCAGTTACTGTGTATTGAGAGAGGTTCTGGGCAGCCTTTTGGTCACTTCTCCTTTTCTCAACTCAACCCAGCACCTCCACCGTCTTCCTGCCTTCTCCACCCTTCTCACTCTGCCATTCACCTGCCACTTCAGACACGCTCGTCTGGCCACTGCATTTGTTATGTTCCCATCAGACTTTACTCAGACCTCTATTAGCGAGATGATAGTATTGTGCAAAACCTGGGAACATCAGTCTCATAGCAAATGAATGAGTATAGCAATTAGTATTTGTCTGGCATGGTGGGTACTCAGTAAATGTTCCTAACCATTGTATGCTGAGCCCTGTATTCTCTGAGGCAAATTTCAGCTATGAAGTGTGCTGTATGTGGCATTGGCCTAGGGTTGGTAACTTCTCTATTCCCCCAGCTTGAGGAAAGAGCTACACAATGGACATACATATTCCTTGTACTGTCTAGAGGGCTAGTGGGGTGAGTGGGGGGGACTCTACCACCCAACAGGAAATGCGGTGCTCTTTGCCTCTTCCAGTGATTCTTCAAACGTTTTGGCCTTGCAACCATTGTTTCCAACTCTTATCTCAATAAAAGAAGTGGGGCAGCGCCTGTGGCTCAACGGGGTAGGGCACTGGCCCCATATGCCTGAGGTGGCGGGTTCAAACCCAGCCCCAGCCAGAAACTGCAAAAATAAATAAATAAATAAAAGAAGTGCCACCTCAGGTGAGATGTAGGTGGGGACTCTCTCTCTACTTAGTCCCTTCACCTCCCTTCTTAGCAGTCCCCAGGGACAGTGGAAACAGTGAACAGCCAGTTTACCATGCTGGGCATTTCACAGGCATTTACTGTGCTTATTAATTATCAGATTCTTATTTTTAAAAGAACTCTTTTTGCACCAGAACATGTGATAATGATTTTACTAATCCCTCAAAGTTTTGTTTCTTCCTTCATCAACTTGGTAGGCACTCTCTTTTTGGAAAGCATTAACATGCATAAGCACTATAGTTAACTTCAGTACTCATTAATGAAGCCCAGAACTAATAGTTACATTGTCGTAATTTGACAAAGCCATCACAATCTATGCATGTTTTTTGAAAGCTCCCTAAACATGCTGCTAAATCCCCTAAAAAGCTACTAAACTGCTTTGGCAGCCATTAGCCCAGCATAAGCAGAGGAACTCTTTTCAGTAAGTGAACAAACAGAGAAAATATGCTGAATGGCTGGACAAATGTGTTTCAGCTGGCCCTTTCATTTACCAATATAAGGGCACAGTCAATATCAATCACTGTTTTCCCTGTTGCCCTGAAAATCACAATATCTCTTTTCATCCCACAAGCTCTTTTCACCACAGTAATGTGTCTTTAGAATGACACTGGCATCAGCCTGCTTCCGCTGTCTGAAGTCCAGAGAGCTTAAAAACACATTTCGGGATTCTTGAGCCTTCCTCTCCTTCCGTTTCCCTGCCGCCTACTCTCTCCTCCCTCCCTCTGCATCCATTCCACCCCCTCCGCAGATGCTTTTCAATTCTTCCAGCTTTCTTCCCTGAGTAAACAGAATTCACTTCTCTGTTCTAATGCAGCCCACCAAAGTAAACGTTGGGACTGTATCCAATATTCCCAAGATTTAAGAATTGTTTAAAGAAGATACCCATAAAGAAATGCTTTTACATGTTGGTAATACATCAGAGGTTAAAAAGAAACGTGGAAATTTTGTGCTATGACAAGGTGTGCTACTGACCAAGACCTCACTCTGTATCAAAAAATCTCCTGGCTCGGCGCTTATAGCTCAACCGGCTAAGGCGCCAGCCACGTACACCTAAGGTGGCGGGTTCGAATCCCCAACCCGGACCCGCCAAACAACAATGACGGCT